CAAAGGGAATTTGCAGGTGTCTGAAAGGGACTTAATGCTATTGGAGGAAGGGGGAATGTCAGGGATCCCTGACCAGCCCCGGTTGGGCATTGACCGCTCAGTGCTTGTGCACCTGGTGGTCTCTTAAATGATACAAGTATCAGCTAAGAGGTATCACATTTTATCCTGGTTAAACTCGCTGTTTTACCTGATGCCATTCATTAAATACCTCTCTAAAGCAGCGTGCACACTCTGTTTCAGTTCATACTCTTCTAACAGAGAGCTATTGAATTTTGGTTTTCCCAGTTGGACGGATTTATTGCACGGAACTGGGCTAATCAGAAATCAGCACTGGGAAGTGCTCTCGATCCCCTGGCGGATAAAATCCTCATCAGCGTGCTCTACGTGAGCCTAACTTGTGCAAATCTTATCCCAGGTGAGGCAATGTCAGTTGTGTGCTCTAGATAAGGTAGAGAAGGTCAGTTTATGTGTAGCAACGTTTCTTGTGTTTCTAGAAGGAAAACTGTATCTCTCGGAACTCTTGCTTTGCCGGTTGTCCTTTGCTCCCATTAAACACTTCCAAAGGGACCACGCAGAAAGCAAGTGCTGCCACATACAAAATGGCATGTACTGCCATTTTTAGGTGCTCTTTCTCTAAAGCAGTAATAGTAGCTTTGTAAAGTTGTTTTTCGTGGACTGGATTGTTTAAAGACTTCAGCTTAAACCCTTTCAGGAGTTGTGTTAAACATTACAGTAATGCATAGAACTCGTTCAAGAGAATTTGGGTGTGGCTATGCAGCTTAAACCCTTTCAGGAGCTGTGTTAAACATCCTCAGTAATGCATAGAACTCGTTCAAGAGAATTTAGGTGTGGCTATTTTGTCTCACTTCTAATTTTCTGCTCTTTTGGTTGTGTTTTACCTTTAATCACGGACACAGTTTTTCACTGGCTGGTGTTGCCTTGATCTTGCAGTTCCCCTGACTTCCATGATTATCCTGCGGGATGCGGCGCTCATTGCCGCCGTTTTTTACGTGCGATACAAAACTCTTTCTCCACCGGTGAGTGCACAGCATTGAAAACGTGTCATCATAACAAAAAATACATTAATAAGCTTAATTAACAGCAAAGTTGTGACCAAGAGATTTGTCGTCTTGAGACTCGATGGTTACAAGATGTAATGCTTGTTCTTTTGCTAAACAGATTTCTGAGCAGAGCAGTGTGATGGTTACATTGTTCTTTTAGCAAAAGAACAATGCTTGTTCTTTTGCTAAACAGATTTCTGAGCAGAGCAGTGTTTTATAAAATGTGGTTTGTAAAGATAAGTCAGAGATACTGATAACGTTTTTCCTGTGTGTGGTGTGTAATAAGCAATCTTACAAAGAGCAGTGTAATTCTTCAGTGCTTTTCTTTATCATGTGAACAGGTAAATCAGACTGAATGTACAAGAGCTGCAATTTTTTTCCTCTTTTCTCCCCCAACAGAGAACACTGAGTAGGTATTTTAACCCCTGTTATGCTACTGCACAATTAAAACCAACATTCATCAGCAAGGTAAGAGCAATAACTCGTTAGAAAAGATAACTCCTGGGTACTTGGAGCATTGTGTGGTTTGGAGGGTGGGGATAATTTACCACTACTGCTGAGTACAGTTTCAAAATAGTGCCAACTATTCCTAGATCCTGAAAGGTTTTCAACTGTACTCTGTCAGAGCACGTGCTATTTTGGAGAGAGTAAGATGCTTTATTTTAAGAAGGTTTCTAAATAAATTTTCTTTGTGTAAACTAATCCTTAAAGCAGTAATACAAGTATATGTTGGTATTGCTGGTACCTCTTCCCGTTGCTCACAGTTCCTGTTCTGCTTTTCTCAGATGAACACAGCAGTTCAGCTGATTTTGGTGGCGGCTTCTTTAGCAGCACCTGTTTTCAATTATGTGGACAGCATATATCTGCAGACATTATGGTAACTAATATCTTACATTTTTTTCCCCAGATAATTTAATGTGCTCCTAAAGAAACTGGTAATCGAGATTAATTTGTGTGGAACAAAAAAACCATGCCCAGAAGATGCAGTAGGCCCATATGCCTGAATTTGTACACCTTTAGTCTTAAATGACACCAGAGCTAGATATTTATTGGTACTTAATGAAACTAGTTAAGATCCAGGAATAATAGCTTAGAAACAAGTCTTTGGGGTAGGCGTGGTGTATACAGGCAAAACATAAGAGAGAGGAGAAAAAAGGAGGAAGAAAGGCTGCATGGATTCCTCATTTATTCATGCCAGAAGTGTCCTTGAACAAGCACCCTTGGGATCAGTAATAACAGCCATTCGTATTTTTGCTTTATACTGTACCTGCTATCTTGAAATCCAGGTTCCTGCAGCCTGTTTGAAGAGCACATGGAGAAATGGTGATTCCTGCTAGACTTTAGGAGGGAAGGAGAGGGATGGGATGAGAACAGGCATAAAGGAGCTTCCCTCCTTAAGAAATGCTGTTCCTTCTGCTGTCACTGGAGCTCTGAACTGAGTCTGAGCTGCAGCTGGCTGCAGCTGTTATGAGTGTAGTTATTTTTCCTGAGCTGTCTGGCAAGAGTTCAGAACAAAGAGTTCTGAACAGCAGATGTCAGAATTACTTAGTAACTTAAAGTAGTGCAAAATCCAGTGTTACTTGTCTTCTAGGGAAATAAAAAAAAACAACCAAACCAAAGAAACCAAAACCACCAACCCAAACCGTGAAGTGTTTAAGGAGCTATGAATGAACCTTGATCTTAACAGTCTGTGGTTTTTTTATTCTGGTGGTAAGACAAAATCTCAAGTTGCCTCTGGGTATAATTTGCCAGGGTGTTCTGTGGATACTCTCAGACACTCCCTGGCAGAGTGCTCAGGGAGGGCAGCGGGGAGCAGAGGGACAGGCAGGGCTGCAGCAGGGATTCCCACCTCAGGGGTGGTGTCAGCCTTTCAGCCAGAGGAGCACTGCTCATTTAGGGATATCTGTGGTCTGGGAGGGAAACAAAAGAGGCTGAAGCAGGAACTTGTTCTTTAGCTTTGGGACTTGGTGAAAATGGTAAGTTCGAGTCTTGAGTGGTTTGAATGTTCCCTGCTCACATTACCAAGGAGTAGTTTCTCATATCTGTCAATTCTCAAGATGGTAGAAGTGATGTAGGCTGTAAATGCTGAATCTTTTTATTTTCCCTTCTCTAAAGCAAGTGCTGGTGTGGTGATAATTTGTCCTGGTATGCAGTTACACTGAAGCATGCTGCTTACCCCTGCATGGCAGAGCCTTTGTTTATCTAATCCTCCCCATAGTACTGAATTTCAGCTTATAAACTGTAACCTGCATTTTTGTGGAGCATAGTTCCTGACTGTGTAGTTAAAAACAGATGGTAAAAAATTTTAAAAAGGCACTTTTTATATTGTCCAGAGACCCCCATGACTTAGAGGAACTCTTTTCCCCAAAGGTGCATCACAGCTTTCACAACGGTGACATCTGCCTACAGCTATTACCACTATGGCAGGAAAACTGTCCAGGTGATCAAGAACAAGTGAAGTGGTCTGGGTGATAAAAGGGAAAGTGTTCCTGGAAAGGCAGGAAGGTGCTGTGCCCCCAGAGGTGGTGGTATTGCAGCTGAGTTTTGGATCAAAGCACTCTTTGTTTTTCTGCTTAAACCATGGCATCACAATGAAGTGAAATTTGAACATGTACTGTGTATATATGTAGAGACAGACTTTTTGATGTATTTTTAATTTCTTGGAAAATGAAGTTGTTTACAAAAACAAATAAATAATTCTTAAAAACACGGGTTACTTGCTGCTGCCATGTGAACTCTGAGTAATTTTATGCTGGTTTTGAAGTCGAGACACGCACTTGGCACCAGATTTGTTTTGCCACATTCATGCAAGGCACTGAGCACCCTGGCATCTGAGAAGAAAAAGCAATTACAAGAGCAAGTTTGTACCTCAGCCCAAGTCAGTAAACCAGCACTGCTCATTAGGACCTAATGACTCACCTCAGGCTGCAGCAGAAGGAAGCATGTCATCGAGGAACAGTATCTTCAGAAATTCAAAGCAGAGAGAAATTTTGCTTTATATTCCATGGGTGATACTGATAAGCCATGAAGAGTTCCTACCCTTTTCTTTTTAAAGATGAACAATGATGAACTGTACTCAGGGTTTTTGAGAAAGGTCAGCGGTGCTATAAGGAGTCTGTACCCAAATGGAGTTAAGTTTCTCATCCTATATATTCATTTCTAGTGATTGAAAGAAATTCCTCTATCTCCAGATGCTTTAAAGTTTCTAAAGATGTTGTTTAATCCCAATACCACTGGCTGAAGAGGACATTTAAAATACTGTCCAAATGAATGGAGACTGGAAGAAATTTTAGATGTGCTTGCTGTTATTTCTTCCTGTACCTCCAGCTTCAAGATATACTCCCCCTCAAGGACAAGGACAACTTGTTCTTTGCCTGTTCTCTACCTACAAAACCGAAGAAAGAGGAAGGCAGAACAGGTCAAGATGATCATAAACTCATATTTTCTCTTTGTGAGCAACATGATTTTTCTTTTATGTCATAAGAAAGTGCAACTATGAAGGGTTTCAATGACTGAAATCAGGAGGTAAATAATATCACTGTATTATTGTTGTATTAGCAAAGAAAACTTTCTGTAGGAGAGCACACAGTCTCTTTTGTGACAGTGTGTCTGTATAGACAAAGCATTTTAATGCTTTCTTTATATTGAAACTTGTATAAAATGATGCACAGAGAAAACACTTGCTCTTTATTAGTACCTTTGTTTTAACTGGCCCCGTCTTTAATGGTCAACCCTTCATCTTTCAGCAAAGGATAGAGGGCAAAGCCTGTGAACGTCTCCTTATAATACATGAGTAGTGGAGTATTTTCCGTGAAAAAAGCAGTTCAGAAAGCGGATATTTATTGTGCCCACTCAGCTGCTTGCTGTGAGGGTCTGCATAATGTCATTGGCGCTTGCTTGGGGAGCGTTTCTGGCCCCGCGCGGCCGCCGTACGCGGACGCGCCCTGCCCGCCATGGCGGCGCCCGAGCCGCCGCCGCCGCCGCCCGAGGGCTCCAGGCCGCTGAGCGCGCTGCTGAGCGGCATCGCCCAGGCCGCCTTCCACGGCACCGCGGGCATCACCGAGGAGCTGCTGCGTGCCCAGCTCTACCCCGAGGCGCCGCCGGAGGAGTTCCGCGCTCTGCGCGCCAAGATGGGCGGCCTCCTGCAGGTACCGGCGGCGCGGGCCCGGGGCGCTGCGGGGGGAAGGGACCGCGGTCTGGGAGAAGCCGCTCCGTCGGCCGCACTCCCGCCGGTGTCCGGCATCCCCCTTCTCCGGGGGCTCTGGGTGCAGGGCCCAGAGCGCTGCCCTGCCCCGTGCCCTGCCCTGCCCAGCCCGCGGTGACATCTCCGGCTCCATCCCCGAGCGGGCACAGCCGGGACAGACTCGAGGGAACGGCCTGAAGCTGTGTCCGGGGAGGGTTAGTTGGTCCGAGCGGGCACAGCCGGGACAGACCCGAGGGAACGGCCTGAAGCTGTGTCCGGGGAGGGTTAGTTGGATATCAGCAAAAGGTTCTTCACCCGGAGCGGGGCTGGGCACTGAGCAGGCTCCGCGGGCAGAGGGCTCAGCAGCAGCCTGGCAGAGCTCGGGAAGCGCTGGGACAATTCTCTCCAGCGCAAGGCGTGGCTCCCGGGGATGGGGCTGTGCAGGGCCGGGAGCTCGGCTCCGTGGTTCTTGTGGTGGGTCCCCTCACACTCCGCTCCTTCCGCGGTCCCGTGCCTCAGGAGCCGGAGTCCCTCGGGCCCCCGCTGTGCAGGGGACGGGCGGCACATCGGGAGCACGAACCTGTTCCTTTCTGAGAAGAACTGCAGTTTTCTTGTAAGGAAAAGAAAAGCGCCACTAATTATGAGGCAAGCCAGTTTACTGAGTCAACAGATTTTGCTTTTTGTGCTAGAGAGAAGATATTCTTCCCCGCAATGAAGCCTTTTGGTCTCCGTTCAAAGTGAAGAGCGTTGTGTAGCTCCCCAGAGCTGCGTGTGGCTCAGGGAGCCTCCAGGTGCTAAATCCTTGCATAGCCACTGCCACCTTGTGGGTAAATGCACGCTTGGATTGGCCAGATTTATAAACGTGCTCGGTAGTTTATTTAAAACTTATTATTGAGAGATTTGGAATTTGATGAGGATGATGTCACTCGCTTTCTGCCTTTATGAAGATTTTGTCGTTTATTTAATGATCAGATTCATGTAGTGCCCCAAGAAGCCTGCATTGAGTGGCATGACCCAGGCCTCTGAATCCCAAAAAATTCTGCTCCTGAATCCTAAAAACTGATTCCTCAGGGCTCTGTGGGCTTTTTTCTAGTGGGTAACTTAAAGGAAGTGACACCTAAGTTCTAAGGATCCTTATAGAATCTGTGCTCTAGAGCATCCTAAGAGAGCCCCTTGGCCTTCTGGTCACTCTGAGGGCCCTCTTTCCTTCACACCTGCCAGTTTTGGGGGGAAGGTTGATGTTGGGACTGTGCTTTGGAAGTAGAGAGGCTTAAACTTATCTTCCTCTTTTGGTATCTCTCTCTGACTTGAAACCTGGAGGGTTTTTGTGTAGCACTGGATTTGCTGATAGCAGTGATCCTCTGTGATTACAACATCTTGGTCTTATTTGCTGATAGCAGCAAACTCCAAAAGTGATCCTCTGTGATTACAACATCTTGGTCTTTGGATGCACCTCTTGGGTGCTGGTGTCTCCTCAGCACCTGAAGAAGCAAAACTTACTGCAAGATCTGCCTTTTCCCTTCCTTGTCAATTGCCATGTGAATTTCTGAGCTTATTGGTTCCAGTTTTGATACTTGATTGTGAAAATTACAAAAGCTGGGGGAAAAAATTATGTCTTTGTTACCTTTTTGTGGTTTTCTTTTTTCCTTCTTCCTCTGGGTGGTGGAGGAAGGGGAGCCAACAGCAGGATGACAAAGTCTAGAAGCAGAGAGATTGATTGCCCCTTGACTTAATTGGTGTAGTAGTTGGTGTCTTCTCAGCAGTAAACATGGATCTGGACCATAAATCAACCTCTTGCTTTCACTGGATGTGAGCTTAAACAAGGTGAAGGACTTCCCAGTACCTTTCTGCATTCCATCTGTGCAAAGCATGGGGATGAATAAAAAAATCTATCATATTTACTGTAGCAATAAAAAAATTAGATTTTTCTCCCCCTGGATTATACAGAGAGTAGTGCTGTGTTTATGTTTATAAAAGATGTCATTATGATCTCCTTCTTCCACCTGTTTGCTGCCCATCCATCTGCTGAATATGCATGAAGCAGCTGACCTCTTTCTAAAATGCTGCATTTATTTTGTAGTGAAATCATGTTTCTTTATTAAATGTACTTTAAAAAAAAATCTAATTTCTTGTGTGGAGTATCCTGGAAGGCAGGACAATCTTTGCTGCCCATCCATTGGCTGAACATGCATGAAGCAGCTGACCTCTTTCTAAAATGCTGCATTTATTTTGTAGTGAAATCATGTTTCTTTATTAAATGTACTTTAAAAAAAATCTAATTTCTTGTGTGGAGTATCCTGGAAGGCAGGACAAAGCCCTAGGAAGGCTGGCCCTGGAGAGCCATATGATTTCAGTGTTCTGTTAATTGTTTTTTGCCCTCTGCCTTCATCCTTCCCAGCCTCCTGTCCCTTAAGGCTGCAAAGCATTGAGAAGCTGGGTGAGAGCAGCTTTTGTGAATTCTCACCCCCAGCTTTTTTGGGTTTTTCAAAGGTTATTTCATCCTGATTAAAACACTAAATTTGTCTGCTTCTTCCATAAGTTTAATTTCCAGTATTAGTCCACCGGTGATAGTTCCTTTCCATGTGGAGTAATCCCACTGTTTTCCTTTTGGTGGCAGTAACCTCTTGCATTTATTGAACGAGGTTCTTTGCTGCTGGGTTTAAAGTGTCCTCCTTCACTCTTTTGCTTTGGAACAAACTTTACATAGACTAAATAATAATAAGCATTACAGCATGAGGAGTAGAAATATTTTATTGTATTTGATTTATGAGTTGTTTTGTTTGGTTTTTTGTTTCTTTGGGTTTTTTTTTGACAAATACTGAGGAAGTTACTGTCTGTAATAAATATCCTGGTATGTGAATGGTATATAGACTATATAAATAATATCTATAAATTGCATAATATTATATATTATATACAATATTATGTATTGCATAATATAATATATAATACTATATATTATAATAATATCTAATATATAATTATCTATTATATATTGTTAAATATATTTATCTTTATAAATAATAATAAGAGCTTGATATCCAGCATGTAAATGTGTTGTCCCTAAAGACTGGCACCCTCCTGCTAGGGACTGCAGCCTTTTCCCTACGATGTTGCTGTTGTGACCTCAGGAGGGGTTTCCAAGGCATTTTTACCCCTGTTTGACAAGGAAGAGACAACTCGAGCTTCTTAACAGGGACCTGCCCTTATGGGAAAAGTCAGAGCAGAAAAACACTTGGAAGGTTCCCTCAGCTGTGGAGGATAAAGGCCTTTGCTTCTTCAGCAAGGATTTCTGCTAACAGAAATATTTCTGCTAACAATTTCTGCTCACTGTGGAAAATAAATGATGTCTTGCATTTTTTAATAAGGGAAAAGAGTTGCTGTACTGTTCTTTCCTCAGATACCTTGTGAGTCCTCAAATGTGTGGGCTGGGTCATGAACTCCAGAGCACTTTGCAGTTGTCCAAACTTCTGGAAGGCTGAGGTGGAGAGCAGCTTCAGTCTGAGATAAAATAATTTTGGAAGAGCTAATAGGAGAGACTGCTTGCTTTCTGCCACTTAGATTTGCAGTTGTGCTTGCATCTACTAACTAAAAAATAAATCTTTTAAGCAAACTCATTCTTCTTGATTCAGGGAAAAGCAGAACAAGTACTTGTCCCCCTATTTTCTACCCAAAAATGTATCCCATATAGTGTAATACTTTTCACTCCAGTGAATGACTGGGCTTATAATGGATAATTCTGTTTGTTGTTGGGCTAGGTGAAAATGTATTGATAACTTTGCATAGAATTTTGTGAGGGAGGGAATGTCTATAGTGTTATAATAGGACATACATGAGAAAATTATTATCTGAATTAATGTTTGCCTGGACAACTAAATAAAAATCATAGCTCTTTTTTTTTTAATTTAGCAAAACACCACTATTATGTAGCTCACTAATCTGAGCACAGCTCACTTGCCAGCTCACCAGGGTCTGGTGTTGCAGCATGGTTGTTTTCTTGTATAAACTCTAATCCCACAGTTATTACTTCTTTTTTTTTTCCCTTTTTCAGCATTGTTTTAGGAGGGTAGAAAATGTAATGTTTATTGGAACTAGCACCTAGTGAATTGCAGTGATGAAAACGTGCATGGGCACTATCCCAAAGCACTCTTACTGCTTTTAATGTGAGTTATTTTAGCTTTTGGGTTGGTGTACGTGTGGTCACTTCACAAGGGAACTGGCACAGCTGGCAGGTCACATAAAGTGGAGGGGAAAAATACTTGAAAACAATGAAGTGGAGAGGAAGGTTGGGTGCAGAACGAACATTGCCAGGAGTGATAAGATCAGTGCTCCACTGCCTGCAGCAGCAATTTGTTGCTTAGGTATGTCAGCTAGAAAGAACAGCGTGCCTGCATCATTAGGGATTTTTTTAATGACTTTTTCGTGATTTCTCAAGTTGCAAAAGTTGGGATTTGTGTTGTTGGAGCCTCTCACATTTGCAGTGTTGTTTCTCTGGTACTGTGATTCCTGAGGAGATGTGTAGGAGGTGGTGTTATTGCTGGTGGCTGTGGGATTTGGAGGTGATGGTGTTCTGCACCACGAGCATTGTTTTAAACAACAGGCTGTGAACAAGGAGCCTGGACATTACAAACCTCAGCTGCATCTGCAAATCCTCCAGGCAGACGGAAACAGAAGGGCTCCCACCGGTATGACAATGTCCATTTAATGAGTGGTATTTTCTGTAACTAACTGAGACAGAAAGGCTCATTTCATCTGGGACTGTGAAGTGCTGATAGTCTGTGACTGTGCCACCTCAGTGACAATGGCTCACCTGAAGTTTAATGGTTTACCTGACCTTTTGCAGTGCTTCTTTTTTTTTTAAGGTTAGCTACGGAAAAGTGGCAGATTAAAGAAACGTCATCAGATCTGCGTCACTGATCTGTAACAGGTGTGGTAGGCTCTGCATTGTCCAAACAAGAAGCAAAT